GAAGAGCGCTGAGGTCTCAGTTGAGGATATTCTGCAGATGATTACGGGCCGGTAATACGAGGCAACCACGCGCGGCGGTGAACAGTGAGGTGACGAGATGGGACCGTTGGGGGTGTCCCTCTGACTCTCCTTAGGTAGCTAGATCTACCCACGGTAAGGTAAGGTAAAGTAAGGTAGCACCAGGTGGTATTGGCTGAAGCAGAGTCGCAAACCGATCGGTCGGGAAGATTGACGTATAGCGGAGCGCGGAGGTGGCGGCGGCGGCGGCGGCAGACGGAGGGAGGCGCGAAGAGAAGGAACAAAAACCAGGTAAGAAAGAACGAAACGGGTATTGGCCCGTAGAAAGATAGTGAGGGAATAAGGTCGGGTAGCTGCAGGTAAGATACCTGTTCGTTTTTTAGGGCGATTGTAGGGAGGGAAGGTGGGAGTAACTAGTAACAAAAGCTTGAATGAAAAAAAAAAAGGCAGTGTAAATTAGAACGGGAAAAAAAAAAAGGTGAAAAGAAAGATGGGATGTCCCCGAACCAGCACGGAAAGCAGGAGAAAGAGAGAGGTCCAAGTCACGATGATGAAGACGATAGACAATCGCGTCCTCGTCTTCATTCGGCAACAAGGTTCTTCTTTCCTGTGACGCTATTTGTTGCTGGTCTTGTGTCTTTTTCTCCTGGCGCGATGCTCCAAACTGAATGGGAGACTCGAGGTCGCGAAGGAACGACGAGGTCGGTTCCCGTCTGAGTAGAGTGACGCGACCGGATGGAAGCACAAGAAGGAGGGATGGAGGTGACGGTCGGCGGGTGTCGGCGTCGGCAAAGGAAAAGAGACAGACACACGACGGACGACGAGGAGGGGAAAGGGAGGAGAAGGAGGGATGGAGGGAGAGAACGTGGAAGGGGTTAGTAATTAATTTGGGAAAGGGCAAGGTCGCGAAAGAGAGAAGGAGGAAAGTGGAAAGAGGAAGGCACGAGGGGATCCTCTTTCACTTTCAAGTAAGGTATCCTCAAAATGTTCCTTCATACCTTCTTTACACAATCCACACTCCAACAACGTAATACAGTATACAGTACTGCGTTGGCCTTGAGAATATTCGTAACAAGGGCATTGTTATTCACAACTAGCTATGTAGTGTGCGCTTCTCCCCCCTTCACGCGTTACGGCGTGCGTGCACAACTACTGTGTATATGGATACAAGTGATTTTAGACCAGGTGGCCAGGAGTCCAGGACCCAGATAGAGTGTGGTTTAAACGAGAGTTGTGTTCCCCCCGTCTCCTGACTGGGAATAGCAACACACGAGACCCATCTCAACGACTATCCATTTTATTCCTGTTCCTGTTCCTGAGCCTGAGCCTGTGCCTGTGCCTGTCAATTCCACCCCTCATGCCTGTCCAGAACGCAGGGTGCTTGCTTGCCAGGTCTCGCTGTCTTTTGGGTTCCACCGTGGAGCTGCAGAATGCCTGCACCTATGACTGTGCAACTGCACAACTTCGGGTACCTGACAGTTTGCCTTGCGCCTACTCCATTCGTGCCATTTGCATCCGTTCAAGGACTGGCACGGTGGATAATGGCCTTGTTGTTGTACGAATAACGGGTGCTTATCGATAATGTGCTCTCAACCCTGGACGTGGCGTGCAAGCCTGCCATCAACTGACAGCAGCTCAACAACACATCATCACACTAGCAATGATTTAAGCCGCACCTTACTTTTATATGCTCTATCCATACCATTGATCTACCATACTACTATCTACCCGTCCTATGTAAATCCACCTTTGGCTGGGCCAACTACCCAGGCGGACGGCTGGTCATCTGTCCATCATCGTCATCATCATCGCCCAGCTCAGCTCTAGCTACTCATCTAAAAGCCCTCAATTTCGACATGCCTTAGCGAAGACCACTGGGGTCCATTCATCAAGACGCAGCAAAGCCACTGGGGCGGCATTTGCAGGGACGAGAAAATGGGGACATCAGCTCAAGATTGCGGGTAATGCACACAGCATGGGGGCTCTGCCACTCTACCTCGGAAACAAATGCAGGAGGTGAGTTTATTCAGTCAGCTACCTGGGATAGGCAGCTTCCTACCGCATGCAGAAGGTCAGCTTTACGGTCCAAAAACAGCTTGTCAGTTCAACATGCAGTTGTTTTGTTGTTTTGCCATGGCCTCATGCACCACCCAGGAGACGTCTCCATTCGATCGTCCAATGTCGTTGTCTTTCGCAGACAGAGACGCTCTGGGTGGCTGCCGCTGCTACAGCCGCAACCGCAGCCAATCCAGACGGCCCATTACAACAACATGGCAGCATTCTCTCACGCGCACAGCAGACAGCACAGAGGGTGAGACCGTGAGAGAGTTCACAAGAACAGCATTCATCCCGACCCCACCAAAGAATACTGCTCCCCAGCTAGTACGGATTCATGTGCTCATGCAAGCAATCAGTCGTGTCATATCGCAGAGCATGACACGGCATGGCATCGACATGGCATCGGCCGTCCATCGTCGCCCATCTATGGGCTCTTCCCCGCCAATCCATACCGCCATATCGCATCACTTCAAAACAATGCCTGTGAAGACGCGCCCAGATGTTTCCTTGGGGTACCTCCGTAAACTCGTTTTGGTCGCATAACTTTGGCCAATCTTAGCTCAAATCCACCATGAGCCAGCTCTAACCCAGCTGGGAAGCTCATCCCTGTAACCTTCTGTGCTAGTCCTTCCTCTTTCTGACCAATCGCTCCCTGGTCTTCCAGCCTCCCGATTTTCCTGACTGGCAGCTGGACTCGGCGCTGCCCCATAACGCTAAGCCGTAATTATCCAAGCACCTGATTGGTTTTGTACTTCTATGTGGGTCTTTGACTCAAGCCACGAAATTTGTCAGCCCTGTGGCTTGATCTGATCATTCTAGAAGGTATTCTTGAATCCGAGTGTTGATGATCGCCATCAGAGCTAAAGTTGACCAAGGGTAACCCCAAACTTCTCTCTCAACTACCGGCGTTGCCTAGCCTTAGCTGCGGATCATCAAAGACTTGCTGGGAAATCTATACCAACGAAATCAGAATCTCCCATCTATCTTCAGACATAGACGTACACCCGCCATCGAGACCAAGATCCATCAAACATGGCCGACAGCGCCCCAGCAACAGATGCGCCAGTCGCCATCTTCAAGCGGCGCGGCGCAAAGGGCAAAGCCAATATCCGCAAGAGACCCGCAACACCGCCGCCCGCGAACAGCGACTCCGACTCCGACTACTCATCCTCCGAAGACGAAGCAGGCCAGCGGGTCAAGAGGCGGAAGACAAAGGCTGGCGCCATCACGGCCTCATCCAAGGACACCGCCAAGTCGAAGCAGGACCTCTCCGCCACGGTCTTTACCGCCGATCGCAGTGTGCCCATATCAGACTCCAACGATGCCACGAAACAAAGCAACTGGTACGACGAGGACGGCAAGGACGCGCTTTCATCAAAGAACCTACTAGGCAGCTCGCGAGCTGTCGCAAAGACGTCCCAGGCCCCCGACGGAACATACAAGGGATTGGCGAACCAGACTTCATTCATCACGAAAAACCCAGACGCCCCAAACAAGACAGTAGGCCCCATCAAGGCGCCCACCAATATCAGGACCATCACAGTCACCGATTTCGCACCAGACGTTTGCAAAGACGTAAGTTGCCCAGCACGTTACCTCCTCAAAGCATAGATACTAACAATCTTTAGTACAAGCAAACCGGTTTCTGTGGCTTCGGCGATAACTGCAAGTACCTCCACGCCAGAGAAGACTATAAGCAAGGATGGCAGCTCGACAAGGAATGGGAGAACGTCACAAAGGGGAAGAAGAACATTGCGGGAACCGTCGTTGCCAGCGCGGACCGCACCAAGGCCGACGATGATGACGACGACGAGGAGGCCATGTTGGAGAACATCCCGTTCGCTTGTATCATCTGCAGGGAGCCTTATAAGGCGCCGATCATCACGAGGTGCGGTCACTACTTTTGCGAGCCTTGCGCGTTGAAGAGGTATAGGAAGGACCCCACATGCGCCGCGTGCGGGTCAGGGACGAATGGCGTCTTCAATGGAGCATCGAGGTTGAAGAAGTTGCTGGATAGGAAGAGAGAGCGCGCGGCGAAGAAGAGGCAGGAGGCCATAGAAGCAGGGGAGGAAGTTAGTAGTGAGGAGGAGGAATAGGATGCTAGGACTCAAAGATACCACAGCCCTGTCGCGGCTGAATACTATTCGTCTCTGGGCATGTTGTCCAAGGCAAGCTTTCATGACACTGACCCTGGTCCAAATCGCACAATCGACTTGCTGAAGTGAGAGCCGCCCTCGAAATGAGGATGACAAATGGCATATTAGATACTCCCTTATTCCCTGGCTTCCGACAGCTTTGTCAAGCTATTTCCTGTATCAAAAACTGAGGAACACAACTCCAATGTAGTCAAAGGAGCAACCCAATCAGGCACCCAGGCATGAGTTTCAGGCTACATCAGAATCGGCCTATGCTGCAGCAAAGCAGCTCCAACCAGCGCGATCCGTGCCCTTCCACCGGTCTCAATGGTGCAACTGTGTTGAGGAAGATGTTGTCTGTTGTAGCGGATTAGCACAGCACTTTACCTTACCTCAAGGTACCTTAGCTTCCAACGGCCGATAAGATAAGCAGATCCCTCAGCACCAGCGCAGGCAGGCGGCAACCCCGCCACCATCTTCCCTGTCCAATCGTGAGACAACCCCGCCATCCATGTGATCGCCCTGAACAGCTGCCACGAGCTTGACTCCCAGTCATCGACATCAGGCGGAACCACGACAAACTACATCATTCTGAGAGCCGGCGGAGGACTAGGCTGTCTTTCTTACCTCGCCAGCAACATCCTTCTCGTCAGCAAGATAGACGCCACTAAAGACAACCGCATCACCACAAAGCAAGTATACACTTAGAGACCATCGATACCTTCAACACAAGGCGTCACCGACTCGAGATACCGAAGCTTCCCTAAACGTCACAGACCGACGTTAACGATGAATCTTCTCTACTCGACCGTCAACACACTCCGCGACCGGTACACACCGGTATCGCACAAGTCCACCTTCCGCCAGACGGGTCAAATCACCCCCGAAGAGTTCGTCGCCGCGGGCGACTACCTCGTCTACAAGTTCCCGACCTGGTCCTGGGGCGACGCGGACGCCGACAGCCGCCGCGTCAGCTACCTGCCTCCCGGGAAGCAGTTCCTCGTCACGCGCAACGTCCCCTGCAACCGCCGCCTCGACGACGACTTCGCCGGCGATGCGGGCCACGAGGAGGCCGTCGTGGAGGGCGGCAAGAGGTCCGGGGCCGGCGACGATGATGAGGATGGCTGGCTTCGCACGGGCGGGCTGGCGAGCTCGCAGCCGCTTAAAGTGAAGGAGGTGCGGACGGTGGACGACTCGGGAAATGTGGGAGACCGGGAGGTTGTGGAGGATGACGATGAGATTCCGGATATGGAGGATGAAGACGACGACGAGGCCATCATCCGCGATGCAGGAGACAACGGAAAGAACAGGTAGGGATCACGTTGACTTTTCAGCTCGGGAAGATGTGGCTAACCTCTCACATTCACAGCGGTCGGCGTACATACACCCTCTACATCATGTACTCAACGTACTACCGCACACCCCGCCTCTACCTCTCGGGCTATTCGCCCAACGGCCAGCCGCTGCCGCCGCACGCCATGATGGACGACATTGTGGGCGACTACAAGGACAAGACGGTGACGCTCGAGGACTTCCCCTTCTTCGCCAACAACATCAAGATGGCGAGCGTGCACCCGTGCAAGCACGCATCCGTAATGAAGACGATGCTCGACCGCGCCGACGGGGCGCTGCGCATCCGGCGCGAGAAGCTGCGCGCCGGTAAGGCCGTCGGCGGGGACCAGGGCATGGAGGGGCTCGTTGATGAGCTGGGGAAGCTGGATGTCAAGGATGCTCAGGCCGCTGCCGATAAGGACGGCGAGTGGGAGGAGGTTGAGCAGAGCGAGGTTGACGAGCAGGAGGTTGCTATCCGGGTGGATCAGTATCTGGTTGTTTTCCTGAAGGTACATTTCTCGAGGCGTGAGAAGTCTTCAAGAGTGATGATGATGCTAACTTGTTGTAGTTCATGGCCAGCGTCACACCTGGTATCGAGCACGATTTCACAATGGGAGTATAAGTGGGCAGATTTTTCATCTGCTTCTCTCTCGGTTTTCCTCCTCCTTTTTTCTTATGGGAATGTCTTTGGCAACGGGTGTGTTGGGCGACGACAGGCTTTTTTTCCTATGTCATTGGATCACGGGGACTTAGATTACGGAACTTTGACAAACGGCGACTTTCGAGAATTCAGTAGACTACAAAGTCGAGACGGTATAAAATCCTCATTATCTCTAAACAGGTCAGGAAGTGGGGTTACCACTCTCGAGGTTTACCTTTTTGATGCATGAGGATCATGATGCGATGCGTGATGAGAAGCGTAACGATGCGCCTGGGCATTGTCGACGTGACAGGCGTTCTTTCGACCGACATCTCTATCGTTCACCCTGGTACGTAGCAGGTGAGAGTTCATGTTGGAAAGTAAGCCGGTGCTTCGTTAAGAGATTGGTATGATTTTGGAATATTCCTGTATAGATAGGATGGTACTTACCTGATGTGAGCTCTGAGCCTTAATGAGTGACAGGTGCCTCGTGTCATTGGCATAGGTCCCTTTAGCTGCTAGAGATGCGAGGTGGGGATTGTGTCAAACGACGTGGGACGTGGTAGGAGTCTGCGCTCTGGGTAAAGCTCACTTGCGACGATGAACTTGGCTTGAAAAGGAAGAGGCTCTATATGAAGAAGATATCCCCAGTATTCTCGCCGGATCGGTCTTCTACCTATGTTAGGCGCGAAAGGGAAATTTGAAGTTGTTTCGGGAAATGAAGATGCCGCCTTTAGCGAGTGTTAGGTCTACCCACGAACAACTTCTTCTACTTCCTGACCTTGCGGTGCCCCCTCGCGTTCTGTTCTACACTCCCGGACTTCGTGTGTTTGTGAGGCTGAGATAACGTCAAAGTTTTTGGCATGGCACCGGCATGGTATACTCTGAGGTGGTTGGCGACTCGGGAAATAAACATCAAGTAAGGTAGAAACGGAAGGAGTTACGAGGACACGGGAAGGCTCAAACCCCAAGCTTGTGACGATATACATTCTTCGATATATCCTCACGGAAGTAAAGTGATCAAACTCATATGCCTGATGGCCCCCAGTCTCTTTCTTCTGGGTTGCCACATCTTGAGCTGCCTTAATCACGTAGGAGATTAGCACTACATGAAGGACTCTTCCGTCACGAGATAGAGGGATAACTAGGCTTTGCTGGAAGGGTAGACTTGCCCGGGTAATTTAGTGCCTTTGTTCGCAATATCTCCCTTTGCAATACTTGTCCTAGGGTTGTAGGGAGTTACACATTCCTAAGCCGCACGAAGGCGAGAAATGGTATAAATACTGCTCTGCCCAGTCAACTTCTAGAGACAGCAGTATGGGTTGCTTCTGCCGATGACCCTGTAGGCATCGTCTATACCGGTGTCGGCTTTGCAGCCCGCAATGACATGGGGCGTTGGTCGTCTATCTTAATACTGTTGCTTCCACATGCGAGGAGCTGAGCGTCAAGGCTCTCTGCTCTCCCTCCGGCTTTGAGTGTCTCTGTCTAGAGCATATTCGATAAGTATTAAACGACGGGGAGGAGCAGAATAGCCTCTTGAGGTCTTTCCATTGTAAATCTGAGCAGAGTTACGGCAGGCACAGCAGCAGACCCAGCGACGAAGGCAGCTACAACAGTTGAAGCACAAGGTTCTGGGGGGGGGGGGGGGGCTGGTTAATCTCTCTGCGAGTGCTGGGGCGTATGTATAACGAGATGATTGGGATGATTAAGTAGTGGCAGCTGACGCTTGTGGGAGAATATCGCTTCGTTCCTATCCCGTGGCAAGACTAAGATATTCCCCAAGCATCTATAAAAAGGATGCATAGTTTGTTGCTATATCCTCTTCAATGGCAAGACTCGCTGTGCTCCTTTGTGGAATTATAGGTCGCACCGGAAAGTGCGTTTGGGAGCTTGTCTCATTTCTCTATAACTATTATCACTTTAGAAGGGAATACTTGATATAGAAGGCTCCTTACTATACTGTCGAGCTCTTATCATCACTACCTAGAGTATATTACATAGGTATTACGCGCCTAATAGGAGCAGTACTGCTTAACTTACTTTTTGCCTCATAGTTCTATTTTAGGATCCGGGTTTGCGAAGGAGGAACTTGTGCGTCTGGTTTTGAAGTTAAACAAAAGGCCCCTTTCATGCCATTCCTGTTAGCAGCATTGACGCCGTTAAACGAGAGGATAGAGCCAGTCAAGTATCACGTTGTCACGAGAAATATCCTAGTGAGCTCCCGCGGCTGGTGTGTCTGCGAGACTAAAATACATACCTGACTGATAGATTTTCTCAGAGACTGCCTGGTACCGCTCCTTGCCCACAATCCGCTTCCCGGGCTGAGCTCAAGCGACCAAGAAGTTGAGGCTGGTGAAATCTCAGGTCTGGTCTCTGGTTAGCGTCTACAACTGTAAAGTAACAACGGTTTCAATGCCAAGCTGCGTGACTCTGAGGGCTCATCTCGAGAATGATTCGATCTACGCCCCCCAGAAACAGACAACTGTTTGATATCACAGGTTACCTGGAAGCCTTGGAAAAAGGAAGTACAACAGTACCAACGGGGAGCCAGCTGTGATTTGAACCCAGGAGTATCGAAGCTTCATGCACCAATCAACGCTTCACGTTTCTCAAACCTACTCAATCACCAGGCCCCAATGGCTGCTATCAGAATGGAAGGAGGCACTGAGTTTCTCACACTGAATGGCGATGATAGTGAATTGAGACAAATGTGAGTCTGGCTGATGAATGACCACAACATCGAGGTTTATTCTCGATGTAGTCGAAGAAACTTCATCACTCGGACGGACCCTGCTGGTTAAAACTTGGATGAAGCAGAGAGAGAGACAAAGAAAGAAGAGGCTGAACGCGGATTTCATCTCGAAGTTCCTCGCAGCAGCCCGGACCCAAGTCTCCTGTTCAACCAACAGCTCATGATGGCTTGCGTCCATCTCACACATCAACGCTCTATATAACAAAAGAGCGATGCTCTGACAACGGCGCACCCAGACACGTGAAACAGAATACATCTTAACATCTTCGACCCGCTCGCGGAGTAAGAAGCTCTTCGTATTCAAGGGATATAATACACGTTATAGCTTGCTTACCTTCACAAGCAGCTCACTGTCCTTGAGTCCTAGAACTATGACACTTTTCACGCCATTGTATTTCTCCACAGTTTCATGAACCCTTTTGACAACCACCGCATGCCCGCAGGATACTGTCCTGGATCCAGTCAACGTGGGTGTCGACAATCACATCATATCCAAACAATACAGTGGACAACGCGGAAGCATACTATTGAAAGCAAACGCCATGATGCGTACGTACTTCGTCAGGCAAGACTCCGAAACTCCAAGCCTCACTGCTCACCTCCTCCTCCCATCAAGTTAAAGACTACAAAGGTCGACAAAGTAACATCCATCTCAACCCCTCTATAACAACTCATCAAGTATCAGGCAACCTCTTCCCGTAGCAATACAAACACGAATAAGATCCTTCCCTCATCCGTCAAGCAAGCTCATCTTCTCTTAGACTAGGGCAAGAAAACATTTATGCTCAGCAGGACAGTCTCATGCCGCAGTAATCATCCAGCCTCCTTTTCTTACCTTGTCACCTTGTCCCGCTTCCCTCCAAATCGCATGTTCAATGAAAACCCCAAATCGCAGAGTTCATCGCCCGCAGAACGCCACGTCCAACTCTCTGCTCCTCGCCTCAGGAGAGAAACCCGCAGCGATCCCAACCCAAGAACTCTCTCGACAACCTTGTCGTCTGGGAAGCAAGCACTCATGTTAATAGCCTGCCACGGGGGAAAAGTACAGCGTAAGGTAAGCTACGAGTGTATACATTCAACTTCGAGCATAGCAGTATTGCCAGTTGCAGTTACAAGTAGCAGCCAAAGATACAGCCAGAACCTCCAGCTACATATAAAGCTAAAGCTACACCTCCCAGACGATATCCGCAAACTTCCTCCTCCCGCCCCGAGATCACCGTGCGAGACAGACTCCCACCTGAACCCCCAAGAAACACAAAATGAACAGAAAGGCGCGAGGACATGTACGACCTGAAGCCATGCCCGGATGATAAACATACATATCCGTCCTTCTCCCGGCCCTCAATAAACACCCATAGCGAAAAGACGCTCCGGGAACCGGAGTGAAGTTCCCCGGGCTGCGCGTCCTCCCAGCCCCAACCGCGCACAGTCCGCGATCAGCCCGCTCGCCGCATGTTGAGCGCCGCTTTTCGCATTCAATTCCTCCGATCATTTTCCCTCTGACCACCTTGGACTTCCGTCCGAACCACGGGGGCACGGAGGGGAAAATCTGTTCCAAGGGACGTCCATGTAGATTCAGCAGATTAGGTAGCCCATGTTCGGATAACGTATGGGATTGCCGATCTCAAATTGATGTAGGACCTACCATGCTACCTCAACCAATATGCGAAAAACGTGCCAGCTACTTTAACCCATCGCGATGGGTAATCTTTTCGGCTGCCATGACTTTGAGTCTACCAAAGGCTACTGTCAGTTCATAACAAAAAACGGACTTGCACGTATCCTTACGCAATTGAGTGTGCGTAGGAGAAAGCAAATTGAAACTTTAAAAAACGTTCGGCTTGGCATACTTAGCACCACCACGACGAAGAATCGCTCTGTCAAGCAATGGGAATCGCCGAACGAGCCAAGCCAAACCCCAAAAATGATGGAGTGCCCAGCTGCAGGCATATATCAACAAAAGCCCGTCTCCCAGTCGGGCTTCCCCTCAGCTGGGCACGCCAGGGACAGGCTCGCCGGACCATGAATGGTCAATGGTGGCATTTTTGGCAGAACGCCAAGCGTCGCCCATCAAGGACTGAGCTGCTTCCTTCTCTCTAGGCATTCGATCATCGTCGGAGGGGGCCAGACTGCCCACTAGGGATGCAGACGTCGCCGACTCGGGTTTGGGGTTTGGAGAACCCTTCTAGAAGATCTGGGCCCAGGGCGATCACCCTCTTCGCCACATAAG